GAGGGATGGGGAACCTCGCGAGGGGTTGGGGTGGTGGGGACTGGAGCCAGGGGCCCCCCCAGCCTCACCGTGCTCCTCTTCTCCTGGCGCTGCTGCGTCGCCCACTGCAGCTTCTGCTCCAGCGCGGGGTTGTCCAGCTCCAGGAGGCTGGCAAAGGTCAGGCACTCCAGCGCGTACTCGTGGCCTGTGGACCCCTGGACCCCTAAGCATCACCCCTGCCCGTCCAGGGAGGCGAGCATGGTCTCAGGGGAGCCCTCAAACAGCCTGCCTGGACCCCCATGCAACTGCCTGTCACAGGGGAGGGATTGGGGGTCCCCCCCCCAAGCCTTTCCCAGGGTGGGACCTGCTCCACAAGACACCTGCGTCCGCGGTTGGGTGTACTCACCACAGCCAGCGAGGAAGAGGAGGTCCCCAGAGAAGAGGCAGGGGGGGCTGCCGAAGGGCCCCCCGTCCAGCACGTACACCATATGGCCCACGGTGTGGCCAGGTGTAGCAAGCGCCTCGAAAGTCAGGCAGCCCACGCTCACCTTCTCCCTGTCCGCAAGCGGGCTGTGCCGGGCACAGGGGTGCACCGTCAGGTGCCCCCCCCAGCAACTTGAAGCACCCATCGCCCCATGCAACCCTGCCCCTCTGCACTAGTGTCACGAGTGTGCCAGGTCTCTGCCCATGAAGGGGACAGCATGGTACCTGGGGGATGGACTGGTGGGTGAGTGAAACAGGCAGTGGTGGTTGGGGGTGGAGCCCTCCCCTCAGTTTACAGGGGTGCTGGGGGGGATGCAGGGCACAGGACTTACTTGGTGAGCTCCGGGATGGCATCGAGGGCGCTGCCGTACACCTTGCAGGAGCTGTGATGCTGGCGGAGCGCCGCGTTCCCCCCGCTGTGGTCCCTGCAGACAGGGAGGTCAGCACCCCTACCTGCATGTCCCCTCCCCAAATGGGGTAGGGCTGGGGGTCACCTCAGCCGAGGCATCCTCCATAAGGGCCACTGACACGCTCAGAACCCCCTCCTGACCCTTACCAGTGTTTGTGGGTGCAGAATATGGCCTCCAGCATCACCCCCTCTTCTTCAATGGCAGCCTGGGAATGGAGGGGGAACGACAAGAGAGATTTAGAGGGTGGACAGACCCCGAACACTATTCCCCCCACCACCCCAAGCTCCCCAGGTGTTGGGTGAGCCTTGCCACCCTTCAACCTTGCCCGGGCACTAAGGGTATCAGATTATGCCTCAAAAAAAGCCAGAGATGTGCCACCCCCACCCAGGGACACACAAACAGAGTGGGGATTGCTGGGGGAGGGGTCTCACCTGCACAGCCAATGGGTCAGAGGGGTCGATGACGGCCGCCCGGCCAGATCCAGTGTCAATGACCAGGTAGCTGTAGTTGTTAGAAAGCACGGGAATGGGCAGGATTTTCACCCCTGGGGGAGGGGCAGACAGACACCCATCAGAGGATGAGCCCTCCGCGTGGGAAAGGGGTGGGGGGGGCCAGGCCAAACTCCACACATCTTAAATTGTCAACAAAACATGCTTCATGCTTCCAGCAATTTGGCGATGGCCAGCCCTCCCCACCCCACAGTGCCGGTGCTGGGGGAGATAAGGAGGCCATGGCGGGAGGGGGGCGGCCTGGCCAGGACTCACCGGGGAAGCAGCAGGGCTGGGGTGCGGAGTGGCCCTCTGGGAACCGCTCCCGGGCCTTCTTCACC